GCGCCTCTTTCCGAGACTGAATCATCCGGAGTCCCCCCTCGCCCCAGCTTGGCAGTGAAGAGTTGCTGTGATATCACACCACTGCGTCTCAGGGATCCCAGAGAGCCCACAAGGGGGCATGAAACAAAGTTCTCAGAGAGGCCTTCGTAGGTAGTGTGCAGACATGGAAGGGCACACCAAACGGGCCTTAACAATGCCACAGGCCCCTTCTGGTTCTTATTGTGGGGCAGGTGCCAAGTCCCTCTCACCCCCACTCACACACAAATACCTGGCCAAAAAAAAATAAAAAATAGTAAAGACAATAAGGGGCAATTTGTTTATTATTTTAAAAAACAGGATAATTGGAGGGTGGGTTGGTGGTAGGAGAAAAGAAGAATCAATGTCTTTAAATGTTTGAAGGGTTTTCAAAAAGATGGATTGGATTTTATTCCACTTAGCTGCAGGGATAAGGACGGAGCTAGTGGAGGTGAGGGGGGGATGGGGGGCATTACAGGAAGGTGGGTATCTGCTTCCCTTCAGTAACTGTCTAACAACCAGGGATGCCCTCTGCCTCACGGAGAGGCTGTGTCCCCTCACTGCTGGAGGTGGTGAAGCGTGGGCTACAACATCAGGATGTAGGAGAGGAGAGCCACGGTTTTGGCCAAGCAATGGACTGGATTGGTTGCCTTTAAGTTTCTTCCAACCCTGACTATCCATAATCCTATGACTAGAAATGCTTGATTCATACCCCTCAATGATCTCGGGGAGGGGGGTGAGAAATGGGAAGAAGTTTTAAAAAAAGCACCACACTTCAGTTGATCTAACAACCTTTATTTAATCTTCTCTCATTTCACAAATCATCTCACATAATTCTCAAAGTTCAAGTCCAGTAGCCCTCTCTAAGTTCCCTTTCTCCTCAGCAACCTCTTTGGAATCTTCTTTCTTGCCCTCTGTGACGCCAAGGGAATCTCATTTGTGCCCTTGGCTGTGTTTTAAATTCTGCTTTTTAAATGTGAGTACGTCATTATCAGTGGCTTACTGAAGATCCTTTTGTTCCTGTTATTAGGGTGACTACACATTCTGGTTATTAGGGTGACTACACATTCTGGTTTGCCCAGCCATTGCCCTAGTGTAATTATTAATAGCACCTCCCTTTATTATCAAGTAGATCAATTCCCAGTAGGTCATGTGGTGGTTTGCCTATTATATAACATTTTAATTGCTTGTGTTCCTTGTATCTCCCAGAGGGTGACAAGCTCTAACACTTAGTAGGAACGTAATAATGATTTGTTGAATGAGTGAAACATTGAGTAGAACTAGGAGTCTTCTGTGAAATAAACTTATTGCAGTTAACTTTGATTAGAGTCTGTCATCAATCCACACTGGATTTCCTTATGTCTGAGGGGAGGGTTCAACCATCCCTCCAGCCTGTAAGTGTTGTGAACTAATGAGAATCCAGCCAGTTTCAGCAAGTCTGTGGCTAAGGTCACATCTTTTAGCGCCAAGAGAAGAGGTGCTGTGGGTGTATGTGGTGGGGTGGACTGAGGCATTGCTCCATCTCCCTCTTGTGGTTGTTGGGTGGAATTCTTCACAAAGTCCTTTCTGGTTATAACTATAGCCTCCAAGTTGCTGGTTCTATATAGATCTCAACCCAGATTTGGGTTTGAGGTAGGGTTCGGGCATCAGTATTTTTTTTAAAGCTATCCTGGTAACTAATATTTAGAGAACTTTGGGAATATTGGAAGGTGTTGGCCATGCTTAAGTGACCAGGTGGCCGCTTTCGAAATGTGATTTTTTTGCCCTGGCCAGGTGGTTCATTTGGTTGTAACGTCATCCCATACACCAAAAGGTTTCAGATTTGATTCCCAGTCAGGGCACATGCGTAGGTTTCGTGTTTGATCCCGGGTCAGGGCAAGTAAGGGAGGCAACCAATCGATGTTGCCTTTCACATAGATGTTTCTCTCTCCCTCTTCCTTTCTCTAAACATATCTTTGAGTAAGGATTTTTAAAAATGTGATTTTTGATATCTCTACTTCTTGGTATATAGAAGTATATTTAGTCTACTCAAAGATTAGTAGGTAGCCAATATGTTTCTAGATTTGTAGTTCTCAATCAGTGGGAAGATTTTTCCCACCAGGGAACATTTGGCAATGTCTGGAGACATTTTTTATTATCATGATCAGGGACAAGGGATGGGCTACTAGCATCTGCTAAACATACAGTGCATGGGACAGCCATGACAAACAATTACCTGGACCAAAATGTCGATGGTGCTACAGTTGAGAAACCCTGCTGTGTACTTGCTCCACAAGGGGAATCCGGAGAAGTTTGGGAAGGGCAATTACTGTGGCAGTGACAAAAATTAAACAATCCTTTCAATACAGTTCTCTTCTCCGTGTGGAGGGTGACTCCTGACTTTAGTGAAGAGGGCACAGGGCTAACCCTTGCCCATGCCCTAGAAAAGGGACAGTCTCACAGCTCATCAAATGAAATCAGCTACCTTTAGTATTTCATAACTATAGCTATAGAGACACAAGGCTATAAAGCATGTCTTACTATGTCATGAATCCTCTAGGTTACACAAGACAGGAGTACAATTTTCTTGATGAATTATCTGTATTTTTCAGGATGTAGAAACAAAAACTGCAGGGAGAGAAGTAACTTACTGTAACCAGTGGTTCCTCAGTCAGCATATGCACCCTTTACCAATCACACCCTGGTTGTTTCACTAGAGTGTCCTCAAGAGCCTTGAGACTACACCCGGCTGTATTGCAGAGCAGTCCCTTAAGACCGAAAACGAGTCTGTTCCCCCTGAGTTCTCCAGAATTCAGATGTGCTCATTCAGAAAAAAAATTACAGAAAAAACACGGGGAAATCAGGCTTTGAAGTATCAGTTTTATTTTTTAAGTCCAAGGAAAAGGAACACCCCAGTGCCTCACAGTGCCTTTGGGGAAAACTGAGGGGTTGGTTCTCTGCTTTCCCAGTTAAGGATGGCACAAAAGGCTCCAAAATACAGCCACCCTCCCCAATGAGGTCTTGAGCCTGGGACAGGAAATTTCGAAGGAATAGCCTCCTCTTTTTCTTTTCATTCCTGCCCTTCCATCAGGTAGAATTTAGCCACAGGGAAAACCCAAGTGCTGGGAACTGAGTTGCTGGGACAAGCTGAATTTTAGTAAAGGAGGGAGTGCTTATAACAGACTGCGTACGAGCCTACGGTTAGACAAAGGTCACATAATGGACATTTTATTTTTTTTGCCTGACCAGCATTGAATTCCACTGCTTATCTTTGGGGAATTTTCTAACTCATAAGAGGCAGATCCCACCTACCACTATGAAAGTAGAAAATGCCAGATATTCAATTCCCAGTCTCCCTTGGAGTAGAACACGGATGTGTGACCTATGATTGGCCATTCAGCTGTAGACTTTGAATTAGAAACTAGAGATGGAGAAATGAAGAAGGGACCCTGGAGAAGTCACTTTGATTCAGACACTTTGGTTCACAGTGCCAACAGCAATAAGAGTTTCCAAGTCCAGCTGAGGTAGGGAGGGAGTGGAGGAGTCCAGAGCTAGTGCTGGGAGGACAATGGCTGAGCAACTGGCACTCAGCATTGTCACCCCCGAGCTGGTTTTGTGATTCGGGCTGTGGTCCTAGCCACAGCCTGAATTTCCCTTTTTTTCCGCTCATTTTCAAAGCATGGTTTTACAGAACCTCCTAGCAGTTATTTGACCCAACCAATATCTTTTCAATAGATTTCTTTCCTAGATTAAAAAAAATGCAGACCAATTTCTGTTGATTGTAGCTAACAACAGTATTACCAAAACTGGTACCAGGAAATGAGTTTCACCAATCAACAGAACTGACTGGACAGAGGAGGTGCAGGTAACAAGGACCTCAGAGTTTTGAGCCGGAAAGTCGGTGACCCTCATTATAGGGTTGTAAGATAGTTGGTGCTTTCTCAAAGTGTTCACTAAGGTCATATAGGACCGATCAGAAAGAAGAGCTTCTATTGAGGAAGGTCTGTCCAAAAGCAAGAGACTAGAAAGAAAATAGGACTTTATGAAAAGAGGCTCACCTGTCTACAGCCCGCAATTCATTAAGCATTCAATTCCTTGAAACTATTGGGCTAAAGTCTGTTAATTTTCTACTTCAGGATAGATCGGGCATGAGGTATAAGGAAGCTCCTGCTGAGTTTTGTCTGAAGCTCCAGGTTTGTTGCTCAACTGAGTAAAAAGAAAACTAGAATTTTAAAATAATTTTGAGAAGTGAAAAGTCACCCTAAAACAAGTTCTGGCTGTCGCAGCTTCCTTTGTAACAGCATCACCAAAGACTTGCCGCCTTTCTTTAAATCTGAACATCATTTGCATATTGTTAAAACTATACTTTGAAGAATCTTAGATGATTTTAATTCCATTATTCAAAGCTCAGAGACCTCCAAGTCATGTTTTCAGTTTATTGACTCTTTAGCTTTTCTTTTTTTTTTTTTAAAAAAAATCACAGTGTTTTACATATAATAAGGAATTAATCCTTCATTGCCCATCCAGAGAGAGAAACTGAGGCACAGAGCCTCGAGGTATCAGGTCTGCATGGTGACCGGGATCAGCTCCTGGAACCAAGGGCAGGCAGCCAGGATGTAAACTGCTCCAGCTTGCTGATGGCAGCCGTCTGAGACAGGCGCTACATGTGCTGTTCTCTGCCTTTGCTTTCATTATCCAGTCCCAGCAAAGAGCGAGACACCGGAATGTCTAGACGCGCTGGGTTTGCATTCTCCATTTGCTCTGCTACACCACAGAGATGGAAAACCGTCCTGGGCCTGTGCCCTGCAGAGCGCACTAAGTGCTTGGGACACTTCGCTTTCTTGTTCACTTCACTGATGGAGTGGAAGTGACATCACCAGGGAGTTGATCCGAGAGGAGCACAGATGTGTAGAGTGTCATAAGAACTTGAGACCTGGGGCCAAGTTCAGTGTTTAGTTTGGCTCTGCCATGTTCCTTCAGAAAGTCCCTTCCCTGGGTCTGTGGTGTCAGCTTTCTGGAAGTGTCACACTGGCATAGACTGTGATGGAGCTTGGTTCCTGGGGGCAAAATAGGAGAAGTCTGTGAATGGAGGAAGTGACACTAGCTTCATAGGAGGAAATAGAAACAGCACTGTTTAGGAAAAGGGAGGGGTCTCAGAAAGCATGTAGCATATAGGCTTGCTCAGGGTCTGTCAAAGTCAGGCGTTGCTGGCTGGAGATCGCAATCAGGTTCCAGGCGGCCTGTCCTCCCGTAAGATGGACTGCAGCCCCCTCCCAAGTGTATGCCTGCCATTGAGGAGACCGGGAGACCTGTCCCAGTGACCTGAGGACCCGAACTCAGTGCCCTCCTTCCCCCTTGCCCTCTTCCCTTCCCTTGATTTATAAGGAAAACCATTCATTTTGCTCTCATGGGGCACAGTTTGGAGAAGCTAAGAGAATTCCGAATTACTGAGCTTTAAAAAGGGTTAGTGAGACCCAAAGGGAGAGGGAAGAAGTGGTTCAGGCAAGAGAGGGGGAGGGAGAGGAAATGACGATTTGGGGCAAAGACCTTTACAGGGAGAGGAGATTTAAGAGTCTAAGAAAGAGAGACAGAAATGGGAAAATTCAGGAGGTTTTTCTATAAAATGTGAAACGTACTGTTTTTCTTTCCCAAGAAAATGTCATTATAAATTTACATCATCTTTTAAAGATTTTGAAGTCAGAGCATGTGTACAGTGGGAGCTTTGAAGAAGATGGGTAAATATAGGCATTTCTGTGGTCTTTTAATCCTCAACTGTCTACTAAAATGCTTTCTTTAATAGAGCATAACTGCAACCAAGATTTCAGCCCAGAATTTATTTCTGTCCATTTAGTAAAAAGAGAGATTTCTGTCAAGTAAAATTAATCCAATGCGGATTTTGCAATGGGTAGAATAGGTGAGGCTCATTCTGGGCTGCACACCATATTCTCTTCTAGGCTTCATACCTATGCGGTACTTGGCCCTAAAATATTCTGATTAAATAAGCTGGATGGAGCCTAGGCACAGGTATTTTAACAAAGCACCCCTGGTTTGTGCAGCTGGACTTGAGAACCCCTAGACTCAAAATGCAATCCCCAAACTTAAATGTGCATCTGGATCACCTGGGGGATGTTGTTTTTAAATGTGTAGATGCCTGGTTACTTGCCATAGACATTCTGATTGAACAGAATCCTAGGTGGAAAACCCCAGGAATCTTTATTTTTAACAAATATACCAGATGATTCTGATGTGGTCTTTGGACAACACTCAGAGAAACACTAGTGAGCAGAGCAAGCTGTGACACCATGCGAGCAGCCATGGGGGGGTGTCCCAGAAGCCCTGCAACCAAGGCCACAAATGGTCCTTGCTATGTCCTTGCTAGGGTCTGACTTTTCCATTTCAGGCCTCTGTTTTATTTCTGCTCTGCACAGGTCCCACCCTTTCTCTCCTCCTACTTCCTCACTCTACAGAGAGATGCCTCACCTGAACAGGCTCTGGGACAGGCTCTGTGGCAGCAACATAAATGGTGGTGCAGGAGTCCTGAGCTGGCAGGGGATCGGATTTCTTCTGAACAACCTATGGAAAAGCAAATAAAGCAGGAAGTTAGCTGAACAGAGAGTCACTCCCGGTCCCACAATCCCCATGGAGAAGCGCAGAATAAAAGAGCTTTGAGTTAGAAAACCCCTTAGAATAATTTGGTCCAGCCTCCTTCCCAGGTGGAAAATCTCCCCCAGACTCCCTGGAACTCAATTCTTTGGGCTTTGCTTGGGGTCCACAAGCGACCTCTTGGAGCTCACAACCTTACAAGTCATCCTTGTCCATCATTTGCGCTTCCCAGAGGCTTGCAAGGTCTCCCTCACAGGGAGCTGGAACTGGAGTGGCTCTTACTGAAACACCCGAAGAGAAGGCCATCTGCATGGTACCTGAGCCTGGCTCATCTCCTCCCCTGCATGCAGGGTTCAGTCCATCCCCGCACTCTAACACAGCTTTCCCTTACTTCTTTTTCCTGTCCAAATGCTGAACTTAATACTGACCACATATGTGTTAAAGTTTACAGAGTTCTTCACATGTCGTCTCATTTGTCTCACAACCACTCTATTTGCTAAACACTGTTGTCACTCACATTTTACAGATGAACAAGCCAAAGCCCCAATGTACTTCCCCAATGTACACCATGCAAGAAGTATTAAAGCCAGGAGTCTCACCAAGCACTTTGAAAGTGTAGGCTCTTTCCATCATATCATTCTTCTTTGGTTGCGCCAAACTTATAATGACCTCTCCTTTACCCATATTCCTCAGATATGTAAAGTCTAATTCACACACTATGGCACTTGACTGTGTGCTGAATTTAACACACTCATATTTGAACATAGTTTCTCCAAACAGACTATCAATTCCTTGAGAAATAGGGTATATTTCTTTGCATGCCCCACAAATAGTGCTAGTGTCACTTTGAATGAATGAAAATCTACAGTACCAGGAGGAAGTCATTGTGGGGGTAAATTGAGACCACACACAACCCTGTAAGATGGAGATGACATAATTTATGCCAGTGAAATCATCCTTTCACCACACTTTGGGGACACTGGTGTAGGGACTGCCACTCTCCACTTTTCCTGATGTAGAGAAAGACTTGAGACCGAAGCACATGGTTTTTAATGGGAGAGAACTTAGAATCTTGTCACCTTATGGAAGGGGTAAGGAATTAGAAAAGTTTACTGAAGGAAAAAAGATTCCAGGTGGAACATGATCTTTCTCTTCATGTATTTTGAAGAATTGCTGTGTAAAAGAGAAATTAGATTTGTAATGTAAGTCCTTCAGGTTTAAATCAAGGTTGGAATTTCAGGGAAATGTTTTGTTCAATGTACTCAAGATTTTCCTAATAGAAAAGGTGTTCAAATGTGGGACAATCTGCCTTGGTAGGTAGGCAGTGAATCCCTCATTACTGGAAGTGCTTGGGGTAGATCAGGGCTTCTTATACTTTTTTTTTTTTTTTAATATATCTTTATTGATTTCAGAGAGAGGAAGGGAGAGGGAGAGACAGAGATAGAAACATCAATGATGA